CACACACACACACACACACACACACACACACACACACACACACACACACACACACGGAATGACAAGACAGAGTTCTCTTTTCATGTTCCCTGGGCTCGCTCTCCATCAATAGCCTCATTTTCCCTCTCTCCCCCTTCCTGCAGTATCCACTCTTGCACTGTTTATAGTCATCTTTTCAGCCCCCCCCTTCCGCTGCTTCTTGTCCAATATTCAACCCCTCCTCCTTAGTTCCGCAGTTGTCAGAATATTCAGGCTAAGCTTAGAGTTCCTATAGCTATTTTACATTTCACTGCAAAACCTACGCAGAGTAGGCTGTGTTTATTTAACCGACCTCTACTTTTTTGTCTTTTTATCCCTCTTTAGGATTCTACCATCGACCAGCGACCGCTTCCTGTTGAAGAACTTGGTTTCCGGCGTGGACTATAACCTGTGTGTGCTAGTCATTTTTGATGACTCAATCACGTCGTTGGCGGCAACAAAAGTCCTGGGCTGCGCCACGTTCTCAACCAAGGATGTTTACCCAGCATGCCGCTCTCTCCAAGCCCATTTCCTGGGCGGGACACTCACCATATTGGTGGGCGGTGTCGTGGTCGTCACCCTACTCGTGTTCACCGTGGCGCTCATGGTTCGCCACCGTGTTTGCCATCACGGCGACCACACGATATGCCACAACAGCAACAACGAGGCGGGAGGCGGGGCCTGCTGTCAGGGTGGAGGCGGAGGGGGCGGGGACAAAGGGGGAAACGGCAGCGGGTGCTACCAATCAAATGGTGCCGGGGATGTGATGATGGTGGTCCTGCCCAACGGCCTGTCATCCAAGAGAGGAGGGGAGAAGGAGAAGGAGAAGGAGAAAGACAAGGAGAAGGATGAAGCCGATCCTGCTTCCTCTTTGCCTCCAAAACTCCCTCCAAAGCCCCGGCCCAAGCCTAAAGTCAACCTGGAGCACTTTCTTTCAGCTGGGGGGGTTGTTTCCACGACAACAGGGTCAGCATGTGAGATGGCATTAGTGGTGAGGCAGAGAAAGTTGGAGAAGGCATTGCAATACACCGCTGAAAGTGACAGAACTCCCCTCTACTACTCCCCTTCATCCACCCTACCCCGTCAGTCACACTCCAGGGACCGCCCGAGACCCCGTCTGGAGCGAGAACTGACCAATTGCGCCAGTTTCTCTCTGGCAGCACCCCTGGGTGACTCAGAGCGGTTGGACTGGAGAATCCCTCCGCGAGACAGGGACAAATGGAACTCCTCACAGGCTTACCAGAGCCCTCTATCCCCTCTGAGCCCCGCGAGCGGGACCGTTAGCAAACGGCGGCACTCGCTGGACATGAGCTCCTCTGTCGCCCTCGCGACGGACGCAGCCACGACCGTGGCAAAGCGCTACGGTGCCGTCAACTACGCCAAGCGGATGAGCGTGATCTGGACGAGGCGGAGCCAGTCTCTCCACGGCATGCTGGTGCAGTGCGCCTCGACGACAAGCACGACGTCTTCGACGGCCAGCGACGAGGACAGCGCCGGGGTCTTCGGGCCACGCTGCGAGTTCCAGCGGGGCTACATCCACGCCTATAACACCACCAACTCCAACTCTAACACCGGGGTCAATACCGGGAAAGCGAGCAGCGTCAAAGACAGGGGGAGGCAAACGGGGAAGGACGGAAGGAGTGCTGAGGAACTGGAGGAAAGCGTTGTGTAGATGGTTCTGGAATGTAATAAAAAAACTAAAAAAACGTTTAGAGGGATAAAGGGTCTGTGAGACAGATCTTGGTTTGAGGGGGGCAAAGAGGTGGAATCATGGGAGAAAGTGAGGGAGCAGGACAGGTGAGGTGAAGTGATTGCAGAAAAGGAGGGGACGGGTGTGAGTTTAGATGAAGAGAGACGAGTGAAATTAAGTCTCACTTGTGCGGCCTCTTGATTTGCCATTGGAGACTTTTAAAAAAAAAAAAAAAAAAAAAAGAGAGGGAAGTGTACCTGGGGTTAGGGTGAAGACTTTTTAAGAGGCTATTTTAAGATGATCTGAATATTGATGGATGGGGGAAAAACAAGTGGGGAGAGAGATGTGACTAGAAAGAAAGGGAGAAACAGAACGGCTGAGTCTTTCAATACTAAAGGCTGAGCTCAAGCTGTATCATTAAAAATGAAGTGATACAAGACGGGAAAGAAAGCAGGAACACACGAAAACAAAACTTAGAGACAGCTAGATAACAGAGAGTGACAGATGTAAGAACAGACAACGTGAATGATATATATATAGTCACAGAGGGAGAGACATAATCCAACAGAGGAACACATCAATAGAGCAACAGAACAGAGGTTATATAGCAGCGACAAAGATGGCGCGAGCTCAGCGTGGATCTCAGTAAAGCCTACACACGAATAGAAACAGTCTTCAGCTCTCTAGGGCTTCAGCCCCCACACAGCAACACGAGGGTTTACACTGGATCAGAAACAACACCACAACCGGTTAGAAGGGAGAAACAGCAAGAGGGATTTGGATGGCATCGCCCTGTTTTGTCACGTTATGTTTTTTTTTTGGATTCCAACACTGACGGCCATTTTGAAACTCTTTTCCAAAACACAATGATTGTGACTTTTATGTGTCCTCTGTGGCTGGGGCAATGATTTTTTGGCTTGCCGTGCCTGCGGATTATGGGAGCATAAATACAGAGCCGGGGAGCATTGGACATGATCAATCGATACTGGCTGGAAAAAAAAAAAAAGCGTGTGTGCAGCACAGACATTATTAAAAGAAAGACATTGGGATTACAATGGAGTCGATATGGATTACAAAGTGGAGGAGACAGGGGGGTGCAGTGATGGAACATCGGCTCGCGAGCATTTCTGAAAGACAAGATTGTATTGGACGCCGGATGATATTGGACCAAACTAAATGAACAATGCTAATGGGTGCATAAGTATGCATGCATTGACAGGTTAGGGATGTGTGTACGTGTGCCTGTGTGTGTGTTCATGTGCGCACATGTATATGAATGTTTGTGAAGGGGGCAATCCGGTCAACCAGACTCCATTTGTGTTTTAAAAATGTTTAGCGCTTTCTGCTAATGCTGTGAACGGAATAAATGTTTAAAAAATATATATATATATAAATAAAGATTAGCAGCGGTCCGCCCAAAGTGAAGGAAGAGCAAAATCGGAATAAATCACTATTTCCAGCAATGTAGCATGGTCAGGAAGCGGCAAACGTTAAGGGGGGGTAAACTCGTTTTTTGTGACTTCAGACTCCATTGTGCCACATGGATTCACTTTAAATCCAAACAGTGAATGTTTTCAGAAAGGAAGTAGATAAAAATATATATATAAATGACAGAAGCACCACAGAAGCCACTCATGATATAAACTCTTCTTCAAGACTTTGTGAAACTCATTCTGGGACGACTGAATCAACGGCACAGAGACACTGACAAATGAGAAAACACAAAAAGAGCAAACTTGAAAGTACATATATATATAGTATATATATAAAAACGATGTTACTTGTCGCACCATGTGTTTCTGTTTTTCAGAAGTTTTCTGGGGAATGATGTTAGGATCCAAAACAATACAATGTGTGATTTTTTTGTTTGACAAAAAAATCTTCCAGATTAGAACAAAAAAATATATGTTGATTATAACAAGGCTGAAAAAGATCTACTGAAGAAGCACACACAGCACACAACACACAAACTGGCAAGCACAAACACCCAAAAAAACACACACACACACACACACACACACACACACACACACACACACACAACAGAGCCAACTACATAGTAATAATGACTTAACCATTACTGTTTCCTTTCTGTTTTGATTTAATTTTGCCAAAGTCAATATTGTTCTCTGGACTTGATATAAATAATAAAAATGACATGTATGTAACATTGATGGACTTATTAACACAAGGGAGTACGTTGTGTATCATGTTCGTGTGTTCACAGGCGTACTTAACGGCATTTGGCACTAAAGCACGCCGTGTGTGCATGAAAAGAATCAAAAGTATTAGTAGTTTAGTTCATCAGCTAAGTGGCTAAACCAGATTTTAAGACCGTTAACGTGCTATTTAAATCTACTGGTTTACTTGGATATAGGTGATCAAAAAACAAAAAGCTAGCTCCCTGGTTTGATTTGGAGAGAAATGTGAAGATGACTCAGCAGTGATGAAAATGTTTTTGAGCTCACGGCAAAACTTGTGAGTCAAAGAAGCGTCAGTGCGCGCAATGACTTGTCAGTCAGAATAGAAACCCTTTTTATTGTCATATACATATACACATACCTCCGCATTTGACCCATCCCTGTATATAGGGAGCAGTGGGCTGCCAATGACAGGCGCCCGGGGGTTCAGTGTCTTGCTTCGACACGTGGCACGTCCCGGTCGAGGATAGAACCGTTGACCCTGCGGTTACCAGACAACCCTCTTAAGCCAGTGAGCCACAGTCACCCCCAGTGGAAAAGAATAGGATAGAGGATAAAGGAGAAGCAAACTGAGGAAAAGGGGGAGATCAATAGTTCCGGGAACAGATGGAAACACATTTAGAAAGACAAAAAGGTGCGAGTAAACAAAAGACTAAAAACAGAACAGATTTGATATGACACGCGGAATGGGAAAGAGAGCCCAAGTGACAACAAACAGATTGAGAGAGAACTAAAAGCTGTCAGACTAATGGATCGTGATGCTTTGTCATTACCGACCATATCTGCTGGTTTCCAATGTAAAACAATACAAGAGCCTTGCAGCTGAGTCAAACTGTAATTTAGCATCACAGCACAGGAGCGAGCTGGCAGCAATCTGCGCCGGAACGGAGCTTAACTAAACTTCTAAAAACATAGATGAGCAGGAGGAGGGACAACGGGACATTTGAACTACAGCAGACAAAGACAACCATGCAGTTATTCATTTTCTTTATCCAGGTCACGGTGGCAACAGGTGAAATGGTCACGGCATCAACCGCGTACGGGGGGGATTCCTAGGATTTTCCACCACTAGAGAGGAAATGTAATCCCACCAGCGTGTTGAGGGTTTGACTCTGGATCCCAGCCCAGTGGGCGCACCGCAGGGAGGAGTCTCGGAGGCAGGAACCCAAAAGTGATGCTGAAAGGGGCTGAATGCTGCAGAGCTGCTGTTCATTCTCAGTGGGATCAGCAGTGTCAGCGTTACAGAGTCATTACAGAGTGAGAGAGAGAGAGAGAGAGAGAGAGAGAGAGAGAGAGAGAGAGAGAGAGAGCTCATTCTGTTGTCATCCACCTCGCCTCACGCATGTTTTCATTTCCCATGAAGCGCTTCGCAGGCGCTGCCCAAATTGGAGTGTGTAAAAGATGTGGAGAGAGAGGCGAATGTGAGGACGCTGACTAGAGATGGACAAATAGACGTTGATGAGCAAGGGAGGGAGAGTGGGAGAGAAGTGGAGGAAGGTCATTGTGTTTAGCTTTCAGTGTGTGTGTGTGTTTTTGTCGCTCCGTGCGTGCGAGTCGGTGTTATTTTTGTCACGTAAGTACTTTGCCACAATTTATTACCAGGACGATACAAGATCCGTTAACCGCGAGAGGATCGAATGAGACGCGGGGGGGTTGGATGTGCGAAAAGGGTTAACGGGCTCAGCTTCAGCCGCCAGACATCACCTGAGTGGTAGACAGTGTCCTAATTCGAGGCCATCAACGCGGACACCAGAGGAAATAAAGAACAGCGAGGGGGGAGGAGGAGAGGGAAGAGTGAGCGTCCCAGGACATCAGGTTAGAGGACAATTTGATTTGAAGCTAATAAGTGGCCACATTAAAAAAGCAGGGCTGAGTCTGTGCTACAGTCACCTTAGAGAATGAGTGTGTGCAGTTGTGTGTGACGGGCAAGAACAACACAGTGCACCAACAACGCCTGCCTCTCTCTCTCTCTCTCTCTCTCTCCCCCCAAGGCAAAACTCTGGCCCAATTTGATTCATTAAAAAAATGCTGAGTAACACAGGCACACACAAACATGTGCGTGTGTGTAAGCAGGAGGAGATAACCTTGTAGCAGTGGTGTTTGCATGCACACGAGTGTGTGTCCTGAAAGGCCACGGCTGCCTGTAGTCAAACTTGCTCTGACATTTGCAGTTATGATCAAGGTATGATGCATTTCCCCCTAGTCATGCTGAGTAAATGCTGACTCAGGGTGCATCGCGACTCAGCCCCCCCCCCCCCCCCCGTGTTGCACTAGAACCCAGTAGGACCAGTTCTGCAGCCTGCTGGTAGAAACAGAGCAGAGTTGCAGGGCAACTATGCAGCAGTATCGCAAGTATTAGTGGAACTCTTCTGATGAAGCAGCACACGAGATGAAAAATAGAAAAACAGCTGAATAGAGGTCTGAGAGATCATCCCAGAGTTCCTTTCAAAACATGACTCAACCTTTTAGAACTTGGCCGAGGCACAAGCTGATGTAAATAAGTGAAGACGTGGGACAAAATTCTGCTGAGAGGAGAGACGAGTATTACTGTAAAAGACATAATCCCACCAACCAGATTCGTATGAATTAATGTGCATGTATGGTAGAATGAAGAAGATGATATTTAAGCTCTCGTGTGAGATGCTCTGATATCCCACAATTAATACTAGTATGTTGTTAACTTAAATCACCACTTGGATATTTAGCATTGACAGTTTTTTAATAACTTATACATCATCTTGGACAATACTTCGATCTGTCGCTAACTCGCCTGCGTCAACTACCTCAAATAAAGAGGCGTGGGGAATGAACAAATGTGAAGCTAAGAGTTAGCACTTAGCACTTGGAGTGATTACAACCCCTCCAAAAGACGGAGCGGCAGCCGCACGATGCTTCACGTCTGAATGGCCGCTTCAACCAAAATTGTCAGCAAGGTTTAGTGAATATGAAGCAGTGTGACGGAGCTAGGTGGCTATTGTCAAATCAACCGCAACAAATGACACACAAACCTTCAGAACAGGTTTTATCCACTTCAGTGAAAAGGTAATGAAGCTATTTCACATCTGACCTTCTGTACCACAACAGACTCCTGATAACACAAGACGCTCCTCTTACCATATGTGCACATCGTCTGGCTACGAGTGCGTTACAGCTGCTCTGCTGTCACTGTAAAGGTTTCCTGCCATGTTCCTGAATTCCACACACTCAATTTCAATATGTCACCTGTGTGATAAAATAACAATGTCGCCATCTTTAACTACGCCGTTCTTTCGGAGTTGACAAATGAAGCATCACGCAGCTCTATTGTTGGATATTCTGATGGCAATGGTGCCATTGTGACAGGATACTTCAAATGAAATACTCATCTTGGAACAGGTAGATCCAGGACTACCCAGACACTAATCACTGTTTCTGTCTTGGATTTCATCTTTTTCTTTTTGCAATTATGGTTAACTAGGCTCAGGTGACATGAGGCGTGAATGATGACTACAGATTGTATGAACGGCTAATGATGAATATTTAGACATATGGAGCATTAGTTACAATGCCAGTCTATGTGAGAATATTATCTCATCAGATTCAATGTGCTAATTCAGAGCAATTTTTCATTTAAAAGACACACAAAAGCTTTTTCTCTCCCTCAACGCCGCTTCATATCGTATGCCGGCAGTAACTCTTGAACTCGACTTGGCATAGCATGGAGACGATGTGTGAGAGAGAGAGAGAGAGAGAAAGAGAGTGGGAGGACTGAAAGATGAGGAGATAGAAGTAGAGAGACGGTAGATAAAAGGATTGATTGGACACAGAAGAGCAAAGGAGGAGGAGAGATGGGCGAAAGGTCGATGGAGGAAACGAGGGAGAGAACCGGAGCACGACACCAGCAGAAGGGAGGGAAACCATCGTTTGCCTCATCTCAATACATGACAACCAGCTTCTTATCTTGGGGGGGGGGGGGGGGGGGGGGG